GTAATGCTTTATCAATTCAATTAGACAATGCGGCATTTATTATTCTGCTATACATCATAACCAATATTCCAGTTCGTATGACAGTAATTTGCCGCAAGACTTCAAACGCTCACGACGCTTCGTCGTTGCCATCGAGTTCGCCCCCCGGTGGCAGTTAGGGACTCGTGGTAGCGTAAAGCCTTCACCGATGAGCTGATTTGATCCTAGGGTGCATGTGAAATTTTCGCCATTCATATCCACACTAACTGAAGTATAGCATCGCAAAGGTTTAAGATATTTAGACTGTTAATGTCCAACCCGAGGAAGATATAATCATCAAAAGCCTTGATATAATCATCAGGTAATGCACGGTATATACCGATATTCAACTATAATTAAGAAACATTTATACTGCTCCGATTACCTATTATCCCGTATGGGCACAATATATTCTTAGCTACAGCTTTACTATTATTCAAGATTAATTGCGTAATCAGAGTGCATTATATAACAATATTACTGAAATTGTATTTGGATCATCAAAATTTAGCACAAACTGAACTATTACTGCAACTCCGATAGAGATGCAATGACTGTGTGACAAAAAAATCGGATTTATGAATGTACTGCAAACCTATACCACCAACCTTAGTTTATTGACATAGTTTTAATATTAAATTTTGAAACATATAGCAATTTCTTTGACTATTTATGAGTAATTTCCTCACATTAGATTTTTTTTAGAATTCGATCCAACATAAGTAAGGAAATTGCCGTGCCACCATCAGATTAAAGAAAATTAAAGGTAGTTAAAGTACGAAGATCGCGTGTGTTGATCAATTGTTCCGATAACGTTCCTGAATTCTAAAAACGATCCAATAGTTGCTATTGTCAAAATTGGGCATGCAAAATTTTATCAATTCATACACAATCTAACTGAAGTTTGGCATCGCTGAGGTTTAAGGTGACCATCTGAAGGGAAATTAGTACTAGACAGACAATCAACGTCCAACTCGAGGAAGGCATGCGCATGAAACGCGCCTGATCAGCCGAAGATGATCACCGCACTATACC